GATTTTAATGCACTTATGTCATAATAGATTGTTTACAGCGGTCTATTTATTATCAGACCTGTAGTATCAAAGTCACAATCATAGGGCAGACTAATGTTGCTCTACCTATATAAAGACAAATGAAGCTTGTTACTTTTCTTTTGGTGGCCCATTGGCTTTGTTCTCTTGCCTCCTCTCAAGCAACAGGTGTGTTGATAGAGTAGTGAGTACGGTACCTTATAATAACAAAGTGTGCTTGTATAACTCTATGATGTAATAGATTATTACAATTACATGAATAGTATATTCCACTCAACCCTAGGAACTCAACATATGCAACCTTTTATTTTAGTTATGCGGCTGAGTTTGGACCAATAAACACTGGAATAACTTTTTATAAGAATGTGGGATAAGGATGAGACTTTTACAGGTGCTTAGTCGCCCAATGCCGCTTTAGGATCTCAGGTCTTGGGTCCCTCAGCCCTCGGGAACCCTGAGAACCGGGTTCTCCCTATAAACCCAATGGCATACCAAAGTTAACCGCAATGACGTTAAGCAGTTTACATTATTTATCAGTTTGGCGAGCGCCCAGACTGATAATTCTTTTTTAAAAAGCTAACAGAGCGAGATCTTCTGATAATGATGGGCTTTATGAAGACTAGTCGACTCCAGTAGTTATTGTACTGCTTATCAGGAAGAGCAAGACCGTGTTACGAGGAAAGAGCGAAACAAGGTAGCCAAAATAAGTGGAAATAACATCGGCCATGTCTCATGTCATTATAATACGTCCTAAGTGACGTAGCTACATTTTTCAAATTCCAATGCAACTGCTTCCACTTCCGGTCCATTCTCAGTTGGGACATACCTTAAAGCCACTTATTTTTAATTAGACAATTTTTTGCGATTTGTTAATGGTACTGATTTAGCATGTACTAATTTTTTTGCGATTTTGCTCTTTTTTCCCAATTAATAACTGTTAATAAACCTAAATTATTAATAAATGCGAGTACTAATTTTTTGCGATTTTAAAGCCACTCACAAAAAACGTAAAAATTAGTATACATTTGATACAGTCGTGACTGGCATCAATGTTGAATCATGTCTGTTGCTCTGGCTGAACCAGGGCCGTACTCCAACATGGTTGTATCATGGATGGTTATCATGATTACATCATACTAGACTGATTGCTGTGCAGGCTGCCCAAAATCCATGATACAGGGATGTATCAAGGCTGATCCTGATTGATATCAGCCATGATTCCGGGCAAAGACGGTAAAATTCTTGGCTGTGTATATACTCTACTGTCTCAGTATGCCAAGGAGTTTAGTTGTTATAATAATAAGGGACAGCATAATTTTTTGAGTGATTTAAATGTATCATTATTTTAAAAACTTATAATTAGATCTTACTAGCTAAAATACGTACTTTAGAGGTACTTAAACTATTATATAATTGCTAATTTTGTTACTGGAATGATATAATTAAAATTTTGATACACATTGTCATCACTGAATATAATTAGATTTATAGTAATAGTCTAGCTACTGCAGTGACTAGTTATAATCTTATTTGTACAAGTAGACATATCAGTAGTGCAAGTAGATATATCAGTAGGAGTATGTGTAGTCAGGTGGGGGGCTTACACATGCTCTTAAGAAAAATGGAGCTTCAGCTCAAGCTTCTGACTTCTCTTTTGTTTGCTCACTGTCTTCATTCTCTATTGCCTCCTCTCAAGCAACAGGTGTGTTGAAATAGACTTATACTTACCTCTGCTAACTTCCTTTAGTATATTTAATAATTTTTATATAAATTTTACCCGATGACAGTATAATAGAGTATAGAGAGTTATACCTTATCATAACAAAGTGTGCTTGTGTAACTCTATGATGTAATAGATTCCTAGTATTACAATCACATGAATTTATTTATTGTCATCATAAGCAACATACTCTATTCTACTCATCCCTGGCACTCTGAATTTGTGACTATCCAATTTTTTATTTTTAGTTGAATTATCTCCATCTACCGGTAATGTCTCAGTATGCCAAGGAGAAGTACAAAAGATAACTTGTACTGTGAATGGATCTCAAGTAGTGGCCTGGCAATATAATGAAGAATCTCTAATTTACTTCGATGCTGTAAAAACTGGTGAAGATAATACCACACTGTTTAATTTTAAATTACTGTGTCATAATAATGTCACACTAATCTCAACTGCAGTTGGTAATGTGTCTACTTTAATAAATGGGAGCACCCTTGAGTGTAGGAATACAATACCAGACATTAGTTCAAGTATCAGACAACATATCAACTTTACTGTTAAAAGTATGTGGGCTAGTTAATCACATCAGCATGTATACATCAAAATAGGAGTGCTAACTGAAATATAAACTGAGTGAAGAGGAGCATCAAGTGGAGAGAGAGGGAGTCAGGGAGGGGGAGAGGGAGGAAGTGGGAAATTAAGAATGTGCATTACTATAGCTAGACTACATAAAGTAACAATGATTTATTTATTTGTGATGCATCAAAAGATACATACTTCTTTATTTTTTGTCCTATTATAGATACAATACCTATCAGTTATCTTCATGTTGATGCTGTATCATCAGATACATTATTAATAATTTGGGCTGGAGCTGATTGTATACAATCTTATGATGTATTAATTAATGGAACTAATGTTAATACTACCAGTGGAATGAGTCTATTGTATAATACTGGAGGAGCTATTGGCAGTATTGATGTATTGGTTAATAGTGTTGATTATTATGGAAGAGCAGTGGGTAACTTATCAACTCAATATCAATTTAACAGTGAGTGCAACAAAAATTAGTTAAAATTCAGAAATCATAGATCTGTTCACAGTATTACATTGTATTTGTTTCTACTGTAGCACATGATTTTGAAGTTAAGGCTATTGTACGTAACAATACTTCCATCATTATCGCAATTAAGGTAATTACGAATCATTATTGTATGATGTAGCAGGTGTTCATAAAGGTTATTCTAAATCCCTTGTTAGTTGTTACTCTATCAATGTACTTTTAGCTATACATAGGCTGCATCTTGTTCATATTAAAAATACCCCTAACTTTCTGACAGATGTTGTAACAGATAGAGGATCCTTGAGATCAGGTTTATAACCACAGAATCCATACCAGAACAATCCTGTAATGGGTGTCAGAATACAATACAATACAATACAGAATCCATGCAATAGCCCATTTTCTGAAAATTAGCGTTGGCCATGGTTCATAATTTTTCCAAAAAATGGCTCAAAATTACCCCAAAATTTTAATACATTTTCTGATACTTATTGATGTACCTTTGTTGTGAGCTGATTCTGACTAAAAATTTTTGAGTTATGGCTATTTTAAAAATTGGCCAATTTTAAAAAATGTCCTGTACTTATACCTCATGCTTTTTCATGAAAAATGACTCCAAAATCACTCCAATCTTTAGCAATTTTTTCTGATGCATACATGATCTTATGTCGAGCATTTAAAAATTTATTTATAGGATAATTACATCAATCACCGGCCTGTTCCATTGTCCTGTGAATTAATAGTATCAAACTTAACTCAGTCATCATCATCAATGGACTGTCTCTCTAAAAGACTGTTTATATTCACTAATGTCACTGAAGGAGATGTGTATAATTATACTGTTACTATTACTAATGTCATTGGGTCTGCTGTTAAGAATGGTTCCATAGGTACATAATGAGTGTATCGAGTCAATTTAAAAAATAATTAAATGTACATGTACTAATACATAGCATATTAATTTTTATAAAATTGTAGTACTACCAGTACAAGTGTGCCCGTCACAAGCTCAAAATTTCTATTCAACTTTGATGATGTCTCAACAGTCTCTTTGTTTATCAGGTAAGTATTCTAGACCTTGACACTTCTTTAAAATTTGCGGATTTAATTTTCATAAAATTCAGTAATATTTTTACTGTAATTATTATTAGTAATAGTAGTAGTAGAAAGTAGGAGCTCTCATTATCATCATCATCATCATCATCATCATCATCATTATTATTATTATTATTATTCGCTACAGATACAAGCACCAGTACTTCAACAACTACCAGTAATAGACCTGGTGGATCAAATTGTGTCCTTCCTTGGATATTTGGTGTAGTAGCTGGGACAGTAGTGGCTTCACTTTTGATTTAGCTTTTACTTCAAAGGTAAAAATAATAATAAAATCTGTTTCATTTTTTATTATAAGCACTGATCATGTAGACTTACAGCCTCGTGTACTAAAGGAACATATTAAGATTGTCTTCCTAAGTAAAAATTATTATAGTTTTGTAGTTTTTCATTAGTATCAGTTTTAATGATTACATAGATATTTGCTTACTCAATTTGTTATCTTTTTTGTTAGTCATACAAAAAACTTACTGTCTCTTACAATAATAATTAAGATCAAGTATGTTAACTCCATTGTACAATCCTCATAACTCAAAAACTTTTAGTCGGAATCAGCTCAAACTTTCTACACAGCATAAAGACATCAATATGTATTAGAAAATATAATAAAAATTTGGGGTCATTTTGGAGCCATTTTTGAAAAATTCATGGACTATAGCACAGGATATTTTTTAATCTGCTTAATGGTCATAGTTAAATAACTTATGGTTTGGTGTGTGGTTTATTGTTCTTTAGTGTGACTTATTAGTTAATGTTAGCATGCATTGTCATTTGTAGACAACATAAGTATAGATACTAAAGTAAATGATGTAATCTATAATGTACTCTCCTCCTACTTTGCTTTATCCCCATCCTCCCTCTTTTCCTCTCCTTGAGACAGACCTGATAATTTTAATTTTTGAATTAAACTCTTACTACAAAAGAAACATACACATGGTAACTACTAAACTCTTGCTACAACATAATGCAATAATAATGTTCATTATACATTACAATGTGCACCCAATAACTATGTGTATGTATGTATGTGTACTAATTACACACACTCTATTATACTAATGCTACTACTACTATTAGATTAGTTTGAGTTATATTGTCAGGCCAATAGTATCAGCACCATTATAGCTTCACTGCTAGAAACAGAGATACGATTGCAATAGCAATAATGTACCCTGTGGAATACTTGCCTCGACCAGACTCCATGCCCCCACTTGTTGGTGTTGCTGTTACTGTTATTCTTATTGTTGTGGTCATTGTTGGAGCATTTGTTGCTGTTACTGTTGTTGTTGTCAATATTCCTGTTTCTGTTGTTGTCCTTGTTATTGTTGACGTTGTTGTTGGTCCCGCCTCTGTTGTTGTTTGTGTTACTTGTGATATACTTGTCCTTGTTTCTGTTGTTGTTGTTACTGATGGTTCTGGTGTTGGTGATGCAGTAACAGCAATTGCTGCTTTAAACTCGTCCAGTTCCAAAAAGTATTCACCACATTTATACATTCCTCCAGGTGGTGGTGTTTTAAAGCCTCCTTCATTAATGATGACTCCCATTCCCTCCAATTGATCTACCTCAATATGACAGTGTAGGAACCACCAACCAGGATTATCAGTTTTAAAATACACAACAGCATACCCACCAGCTGGTATTAACAGAGTATCCTTCAGTGGAGCTTTAGATGAGACCCTGCCTGTCATTCCTGTACGTGTAGAGTAGTCCCTATTAGGTTTCCAGCGAGGTCTAACACATAGTGTATCACCTCCACAATTTAAATCACTATTACCAGCAGTAAGTCTTCCACTGTTATCGTATCCACCAAATTGAATATCAACCACATGAAAGTAATGTCCATGAAGATGTATTGGATGAGCGAATAAAAAGTTACCTGTATTTGTAACATTGGGTCCAGTGGCTGATATTACTAATTCAATGGAACGATCAGCCTCTGCATCAACAACATGAGCACAGTAGCAATCCTGAGATATGACTTCTACTTCATTATTACGGTCACATTTACTGTTCTCATTCAATTCTTTGCAGAACTCTTTATTTTCAATATCAGTTAGTTCGCTTGCCTCAAGTTGTGCCAGTGATGCTGATGGTAGTTTCAGGTTACGTCCATTAACTGCACTGGTCTGACGTGTTCCTTCAAAACCGAAATTGAAGAATAACCTTGAGTTACTGTTTTGATCGGTAATGATGGTAGGCAGTTCATTAGTAGGATAGTCAGTTAGCAGTTGCAATTGATGAATATGAGTACAGTTGATGTTGAAATTATCTGGAAAATTCTTGAATGGACAATTGAGTGCTATACATTTATCACTATCAGTGCACCTTTGACTAACTGTTTGACTTCTAGCTGCGATATTTGCATATTCACTGGATGGTGTATCATCACTGTTGTAATTGAGAATAGCTTCTGCTGATTGTTCTTCTAAATAAGTTGATGTTGTAGTGAAGCTTAATGTAACCGCACGTATCATAAAGAGCCTGGTCGTTGTCTGCTGATAATCTTCTTCTTTTGTTTTCAAAAGGAAGTCATATCTTTCTCCAGAGTGTATTATGATATAATCAACTGTCACTGGCTCAATAAACTGACCATCAGTTGCTATTACTGTTAAATTATGATCTTCTATTGAGAAACGATAAGCATAAAGACTCTGAGCACCAATTAAACGAAATCGATAAGTTTGTCCTGCAGTAACTTTGAACTCGCTTAAGCTAGAATTGATGTAATTAACATCATTATGCCTTCCCCTTCCATTTATTAGTCCAGACCAATAAGACACTGGCCCTATTTCTGCACCATCTGATGAAGTACTTCCTGCAGCTCTATTTCCTTGCAGTTCTGATGCTTTATCAATGTCAAAGTACCTAATGCCAGAATGTATTTGTGTGAAGAGATCCAGTGAGCTGCTCTTCTGCCAGTCTAGTAATGTTAGGGTATGCTGTGCTGGATTGTCATTATAGCTTGTTATATTAAAATCTGTTAATTGACTAAAGAGGTTGTCTCTCTGTGTGTTACCCCTCTCTTTAACAATGAGAGCTCCAAAGAGTCCATCAGTTCTCTGAGCTCCACTGTGAGAGTGGTACCAGTGAGTACCGTATTGTTCAGCTTTAAAGATATAAGTGAAGTTAGTTCCTGGGGGTATACCACACTGTGTAACATGCTCCACTCCATCCATCCAGTTACTGTTCCTTTGATGCATCCCATGCCAGTGTACAGATACACTCTCTGATGCTAATCTATTGACTACTTTAATTTTAACCAACTGACCCTCAGTTACAATGAGTGTTGGTCCTGGTATATGTCCATTGACTGCTATAAAGGAACGAAACGTGTACCCATCAACACCAAACGGTTGAGTGCATCTTTTAGATTCCTCACTATTAGTAGAGTTACC